TCGTTTATATAACTAGAGTCATGCAATAATTTCTTTTAAAAAGTATCTAAACGGACTGATAAAGAAAAAAGTAAGTCATTCAAATAGAAATAAAATAATCAATCCTTGTTTTCTTACAATGTGTCAAAGAAGAAAATATATTCCCTTTAAATTTTGATACGTACCTTCAACTAGCTTAAAGACAAGTATCGCCAAAACGCTTGCTATTTGAATCAAAATTGATGATCTGTACAATGATGCCTTTATGTTATTATAGAACATTTTATATTCTGTATGTAAGATTGTTCTATATTGCTTAAATCTATGAGAAAACGGGTTTTGGAAACTCTGATAGAAATTCAAACTCTGTAAAAAGAAACTGTTGGTACTAATGACACATCGAATGTTTATAAACAATACTTTTCCTTGAAAATTATTCAATAGGATATATCCAGTCAATATGGAAATAATTCCAGTATATTAAGAAGAAATGAAACACGGAAAGAAAGAAAAACACAAAAAACACAACTAAATATTGTTAGGTAATCTTATTTTAAAAAAAAATCAACTTTGAAGCTATTTCCATCACTAATGGGATTATGACAAACATATCTCTGTAAATTTATGGTTTTTATTTACAATTTCCTTATCAGATTATATTTTATTTATTATCTCATCATAAATGTCATGTCTTAATTGGTCTTCAGGGGTATTAAGTAGTTGGTCCTAATTGGATGACAAGTGCACGTACTACATGAAGGGTTCTACTTCACACCCTTTAACGTCTGTTATAATATTTGCTTTATTATTGAATAAATTTGTGAATTGCTTTTTAAACTTTTTTTAATATATCTCATGATGTAGGAATGTAACGTATTATGGCGCACCTGTATTCTAAATGTTATAACTTTGAACATAAGTGTAAAGACAATTTGTTTTACGTGCTCAACATGTACATATTACATAAAAAGTGTCTAGTACACGTTTGGATTTAATTTGTATTCAGTATTATAAGTTGGTTGGTATTAAAATGTAGCAGAGTAATAAATGTTTCAGTTGATACAATCCTGATATAAAGTTGTAATAAGTATGAAATAAGGTATTGGATAACAGTAATTTTTCACTAATAAAGTGTCTAACAGTGAATATAATAAACATTGTTAAAGTCCCAGAGATGCAAAGATATGCACAGAGTATAATCTCTCCCCCCCCCCCCCCCCTTCTTTGAACCACTGATCTGATAAACGATATGAAACAAATTAAGAAATCAATGTAATAAAGCCGTAAACAGTGTATACTGGACTGTTGAAGCATTAGAAATAAAAGTCAAAGATCAACATACCCGTTGAGCAAACTGAAACTTCATGCACATTCATAAATCAGGAAATTGAGGATTCAGTGTAATTGATTATCTATTGTCACCTTTTTTAATTATACTTTTAATTCTGGGATGGAATATCGTCTGTTTAATGATCAGATAAATATTAGGGGTAAAGAAAATTTTATTGTAAACAAAATAATTTGAGATGAAGAAAAAGTAAAAGTTTTTCAGCATTACTACTTGCAAAAATAATTAATTTAGATTCTTGCAATGGGGAAAATTATAGGGTTGAAACAAAGATTGAGAGCCTAGATAAATTGTTGTACATATTTGGAAAGACTGTTCCCTTTTTGGAAACAAAAATGTCGAAATGGTTTAATGGATCGTGTTGTTTGACAATTAAAAATAGAACAAAACTAAAGTGAAGTTGGGGCAAATAATTTACCGCTGCCATACGGCAGTTGACACCTGTCGTTGTGAAACATAAAAATCTGGAAAAAAGGATCATTCGTCGGAAACATTTATCACAACAAAGTTGAAAATCTTTGAAACGTTAGAAGAAAATTTTTTTTGTAAAACAATTTGCATCTACCTGGAATGACTTATCATTCAATAAGTAGATGCCTTAAAGTAAACTTATTTTTGGTTGCAATCTCTGTAAAAGCTGTCGTTTTAAAATCTTAATGCTTTTACGTTTGTTAGGTACCAATCATGTTATTTCATGGACATACCAGCAGCTATATGCAAATTCAAAGTATTCTTTAACATACATTAATGTGTCCGCAATGACTTATGTTCCATTTGTGGAAAGTTCAGACATAATTTTCATACTTAATTTGTTTAATTGAGTTATACGTCACACCAACACAGTATATGTCATATGGTGACATTCCAGCTTTACTGGTGGAGGAAGACCTCAGATGTCCTTCCGTGCTTTTTTCAGGCACGAACGGGCACCTGAGTAGAACTACAGACGTTTTGTAAGCTAACTGGATAGGTTCCTCACATGAAAGGATCCAAAGTCCCTGTCGGGATTCGAACCCACAGCGGTGAGGGGCAAGTAGTTTGAAGTCAACGACCTTAACCAGTCGCAAACATCCGTTCTTTCCTTCTGTAACTTGATTGCTGTATAAACGCAAATGCAATTAACTATAATATGTCTTATATTAATATAATTTTGCTGCATGATAATGTATCATACATACGAGAAAATAAAAGATTAATACAATTAAGAACAAAATTGTCATTTAAAAAAACGGGACTGTTAAATTGTTAAAATAATTTCACCATAAGAACATTACGTAGACTAGTAAAATGATTTATACAATTGTAAACAAAGAACATAATAATCACACTGGCCATAGCTTTCGCAGAAGCAGTGGGTCCATCGGAGCAGCGTTGGAGATTTCGTCGCAAGAGCGATGGATGAAATATGGCCGTTAGCTGTTGTCGGTAAGTTTATGACTGAATTTTACTTTATGTTTTAATGTTTTGCCGGAAACACCTAGTGAAACTGGAGCCCACATATATGTTCGTGTCCATTTTATTACACGCACACGGTTCTATACATTGCTATTTGTACTAACACTTATGTACAGTTTACCGTGGAGACGCCACTTTTGCCTATTTTAGGTTAAAAAACGTACAAATGTGTGCAAAACGGCCCCTTAATACATCAGCATTATATCATATGTATAATACTTGCACAAAACAACCATAATTTGGAATTTTTGAAAATTGTTATGCTTTTTTATAAAAAAATGACAAAAATTGATTCCAACGCAGACGGCAGTGGATTCGATTGCAACGCAGTGCAGTGGTCCCGATACTATTAATGTCTTTTGTGAGGGTTTAACTTGCCATAACGCATTTTTTCAATTATGAACAACCCTTTTCTTACATTGACGTCAGAGAAAACGCTTTCTTTAAGTTAAGAATTGTATAATTGTTAGGAAACCTTTGTATTGAAAATGTGTCAGTTATAGGTGTGTCGTATAGCAATAAATGAGCCGCGTCACGACAAAACCAACATAGTGCGTTTGCCACCAACATGGATCCAGACCAGCCTGCGCATCCACGCAGTCTGATCAGGATCCATGCAGCTGTTCGCTTACAAACCCTATTTCGTAGAGAAATTGATAGCGAACAGAATGGATCCTGATCAGACTGCGCGGAGGCGCAGGCTGGTCTGGATCCATGCTGGTCGCAACCCATTATGTTGGTTTTGTCATGACGCGGCTCAAATGCACAATGTGTTGACTAAGATACAGGTAATTGTTACACAAGTTACCAACACAATGTGTTGACTAAGGTACAGGTATTTGTTACACTAGTTACCAACACAATGTGTTGACTAAGGTACAGATATTTGTTACACTAGTTACCAACACAATGTGTTGACTAAGGTACAGGTATTTGTTACACTAGTTACCAACACAATGTGTTGACTAAGGTACAGATATTTGTTACACTAGTTACCAACACAATGTGTTGACTAAGGTACAGGTATTTGTTACACTAGTTACCAACACAATGTGTTGACTAAGATACAGGTAATTGTTACACAAGTTACCAACACAATGTGTTGACTAAGGTACAGGTATTTGTTACACTAGTTACCAACACAATGTGTTGACTAAGGTACAGATATTTGTTACACTAGTTACCAACACAATGTGTTGACTAAGGTACAGGTATTTGTTACACTAGTTACCAACACAATGTACTAGTGTGTTTGCACATTCATCATACTTTATAATTATAAGACTAAAAGTTAATCATATTTGTAAAAATAAGAGACATATTAACCAATGTTGATAGCATAACCATAGGTGAAACATTATTATTCTGCAGACCTAATCTTCATTATAGTTTATACATGTATACTGAAATAATTACATTAATATTTCTCACATGAAGGGAGACAAGGATGTGTTGGTTCTTCGAAGGCCAGAACACCACATGTAAGATTAAAAATGGCTAGATTGTCAGTCTAATACAGTGATACGTGTTCCTGATTAGATATATGTGGCATATGCGCTCGTAAAGAGAAAATATCTTGAAAAAAAAAACTCAACACGATCATAAAAATCACTGTGTGTCTGGAGTGTGATTCGTGATAATTGTGGTGCACTAACATTGTTTTCTCAGTTTACAATAATAAGATCTCCCTATAATCTAATTTTTAAAATTACATTTCTTAAATTAAGCCAAATTAAACACTGCTTTATGGAAGTCATTTTTTAAAGTTAAACCAAGGAAATCAAACATATTGTCCGTAAAACTCAAGATGTAACATATCGACATTATAGATGATTGTCTTCTTAATATCATTTCTGCAGGAAATACATCAACTTTGATTATTAAGTTGGACTTAAAATGTAGTATGTTATTTAAAGGAGAACACACATAAATTTGTGCATATTTCCTTAATCTGTGTTAGACTTTTCCCTATGTATTGCTGTTTTCCCTTTGTTGGTTGGTTTTACGGTGCACGGGATATGTCACCGAAACAGGAAAGATGAATCTCGGGTGCTACAAACTTCAAAGCAACACGTCAAAACCACCTCGCCTCCTGGAGCTAAGAGTCTAATAGACCCCATATAGTTTATTCGAACCCATTTAGTCGCCGTTTAAGAACACACAGTGATAAACGGCGGCTGGTTTTTTTTATACCTGAACCATTAAAGACAAACTCTCATCCTTAAGTAGCGTATGTATTGATGTAATCTATAAACACAATATTTAAGTTAGTAAGTATTAATCCGAAAGAAAATAAAACCTTATTTAATTGCGAACATGTCTGATGATCATATATTTATTCATCAATTTCAGTCATCGTTACTCTTTACAGTTCACACAATCTATTCGTTTAATTTTAATAAAAGTAATAGTAAAGTTCCAGGCTTCTTTTGTTGCTGGGATATGTCCATTAAAGCCTGGCTGATTGGTGCAGTTGTTGCTTTTAGAGCAGTAGCCTTAGTTGAGATGATTGGTGATGTCGATGGGACTGACGTTGGAGAAGGTGTTGATAGAGTTTTAGGAGAAGTTGTCTGGCTGCTCTCTGCTTTAGTCGTCGAAGGTATTGTAGCTGTGTTAGTTGATGACGTGGTTAAAGGTGTTGTAGCTGTGTTAGTTGTTGACCTGGTTGTAGGTGCTGTAGCTGTGCTACTAGTTGTAGTCGTGGCTGTAGGCGTTGTAGTTGTGCTAGTTGTTGACATGGTTGTAGTTGTAGTTGTAGACGTTGTTGTTGTTGGTCCATCAGACTTCACTGACATTTGAAAACCTTTAAATGTCTTTGTTACGTCTGAATAAAATACCACATACACCGTATCACCAGATGTCTGGTATGTCGTGCCGGCAGGTATAGTTCCACATAATTCTGCTAGAACTGGCGCGGAACTATCATAACCTAGGATTATATAAAATGATAGATATTATTATGATAGGTGACTTAATGTTCAAAGATCAGACTGAAAAAAACAATTAAAAGTCAAAATTCACATCCTTATTCTCCAAACACAGTGAAACTTTAAGACACTAAGATATAACATAAAAAACACTATCCACACTGCAGCACCTTGCAGATTACTTTTCCATCATCTAGTACAACACACCCACACACACACGCGCGCACGCACGCACGCACGCACGCACACACACACACACGGAAATGTATTAAAAAAATATTTTTACCATCATACAAAGTTACTTTATCGTACAAACAGTCGCCATTTTTATCTTCTAGTTCCAATACAAATTCAATAACAGTGAGAAACAGTGTATGGTTAGTATATTAAAACAAAAACCTTTTGAACATTGAATTAGTTAATACAACAACGAATGAACAAGTTTGTTGTTACTTTTGAAAGTTTCTTTGAAACTTAACACAGTGTTAATTCGTATTATTATTCACCAAGTGTACATATTTTAAGAGTATTTTTGTATACCCCCCCTCACCCAGAAAAAATAAAAAAAATAAAAAAATAAACAAGAAACAATATGAAGTAACTGATAGGTTTGCTGGGCTACACAATAATGTAACCATAATCATAAAAAATAACGTAGGAAGTTCAATAACCTATCTAAGTTAACTTCTTCTTACTTTAAGATTTAATGAATTGCACAATAGCTTACATATATTGTTCCTTCTTCATTTATAACAGAACAGTGCTGTTCTGTTCATTTATAACGGTCAGCGAACCTTTAAATAATATAATATTCACGATGACAACAGCGGTCAGAGAAAAAAGTATAGTGACTGCCTTATTATGTTTTTGTCGGACTGTTAACATTTAGCAGCGTATAACGGTTAGGAATAATTTTTGTGAAAAAAATAAGGGAACGAGAATAATAGTGTGATCCTTAAATTATGATGTAAAGTTTGAAAAGATTATGAAGTGAATCATTTAATTTAAGACAAACAAAAGGAACACGAAAATAACATGAGGTATTGATTATCCTAATTGTAAGGTATATCAGATAAACTGGGATCATTTTCAATAAACGGGATACTTACATTGCATACTCTAGAGAATCAACATAGCCCGGTGACGAGAATAGTGTATCTGACGCTATCAATGTTGCGTTCTTTACTGTATACTGTCCTGTTATAGTTATATACATAAAATAGCAATGTTGCTTTAATTAGGTATAGACAGATTTTTGTGTATGACATCTTGCTGAGCAAAGACAATTATGAATTTTGCAAATGCAATTTTCGTTTATCTAAAAGTTATATACTTAAATGTGTTTTATATAACAATTTACTTGACATACGATTGACATGAATTAATACAATGTGTAAAAATTTGTTAAATTTCAGATATAGATATTTGTAAAAAATCATTTGTGATAACTGTGATAAATCATTATTTCCAAAGTTTTAAAATCATATTCTAAGTTTTATTTCTTTTCAAAATACATACCTGCCACAAATGTTAACATTTGGAAGGACAATATTAAGAGAAGACATGAGTAGTGCATCTCCATAATTCATCAACTGAAAAGTAGAGATTTAACAGAGTTTGATAATGGCCGACACACACACAAAGATTTGACATGGTAACTAAAGTGAACATAGCTCGTGTATTAATAATTCTTTAATTCTACGGAAATTTTTATCGCTGATAAATGCAGTAACACGTGTTGGCGGGTAATCAAGATCCGGGATCGTGACGAATTAGCTGCGTTGGTTCTAGTGCTTTGGTTATAAAAAAGTTATGTTTAATTATTTACATTCTTAGGTAATTTGCCTTTAGAAACATATGTTCTGATTAGTGTCCTGACATTTTCACTGGTAATCTCTTATCAAACGTTAAACATCCTAATTCAGTAAACTAGTATCATTTGCTTTATTTTGTTTACAAATATAGGTAAACATGTGTCGTTTTTTAATTAAGCTTCGTCGACAAAATTTAAGACACAAATACATTGTACCTTTATTTCCTCCAATATCTCACACAAAGTGATTGTATCAGTCTACTTCGAATTCACAAATGAACCTTTAAGAGATATAAATACTTACAGTATGTTCTCCAAGTCGAAATACTCCAAGCTCAGTCTGATTTAGTTTCATCAGGTACAAACACATCTTACCGTATCAGAACTCTTAAACATCTTGAGCATATCTTAAATAGTTTAAATATGCTCTCAAGTACAATAGACATGTCTCTTGCTTACAGATGAATTGCTGTTTTTAGAAGAGATTAAGATTTATCAATCAGTTCATTATTCAAAAGATCTACTTTATGATAGTATAGGTACTCATTTCTTGATAATAAGCGTTTTTTTCAAGGTTTAAGGAGAAAGCGTTATCTCAGGAGTGCTGCAAAATTGGACACGTTCCTGTTCTGTTATATCATGTTAGTAATATTATCAAACTATAAGTATGGTCATTCATGTAAAATATGTTTACATGGTAATAGTAAATAAAAATACACACAAATAGATTAGGAGAAATAACGAGTGTTTGCTTTTGTTTCATACATACTGCTTTGTCTTTCGAATAGTTTCAAGTAGTAAAGAACAATATTTTGTGCTGAAAATACTAAGATGTTCTAAACGTGACTTAAAGTTAATAAAAGTAAAGAAAAGCACTTAATTAATGTAGGCTGTAACTGGCTCATAAATATGCCATTTCAACGTTCCGGCAATCTGTACCCCATACCAATTTGGCATCAGTGTAATGTTTAATTATAACAGTCTTTCTTGAAACACAAGAAAAACCCGTAATTTGGAGATACATCACACGATGACAGTCTAAATCAACGTAACTGGACATACTACTATCTACTATAGTATATATATAAACATACCGATCGTTAAACTTTTAATCGCATTATTTAGATTGCTCACAATTTACAAGCAATCCTTCAGCTCATCTAAGTTATCATGTGCAGGCCCAAATTCCTCCTATCTAAAATGACAAACTGGACAAAACCTCTGCACAAAACATGCAAGTAAGAAAGAAAACGTTCTCCGATGAAATTTTCAGGTAAGAGAAAAGCTCTCCCACGAACTGGTAGGACAAACCCGCCCCATCCCCAATTTATGTTGTGTGAGGCCACTAGGATATCAAAAGATAAAGTTTTAAAATGCAGGGTCAGACAAATCAGTATTGTTTGTCGGTAATTGATTGAAACATAAATGATATGATATTCATGGCATAAAAACATAAAAACACTGGTAAAATAATGTAAGTACAATTACTTTATTCATATTTTATTACTAATCATATAGCATTAGTTTAGCAGTATTTCCTTTGATGTTTTCCTGATGAATATATTCTATAAATTGCAAGGGGAAAAGGGCGGGGATAGGAGGTTTTGTTTTATGTAAGCTCTTTGTATTTAAATTACATAATTTTTTTGTCCCTCTGTCACTTTTAAATGTGAGGGCTTTCGTCCCGTCCGGAAGGGCTTTGTCCGTTTTTCAAGTTATCAACTTTTAAGGTATGTTTTCAGTATTTATGCATTTTAGCATGTTTATATCATGCAAGGTTCTCTTTTCATTCTGTGATGTTTTATCATAACATACAACTTTTTGAGCCAGACAGCTTAATATTTCAGAAAACATAAAAACAAGCAGGTTCTTAATGGGGTTTTCTCGAAAACATTTCCTTTCATCGTATAATCTTTAAAAATAACAGATAAAAAACGATGATGACATCTCATTGTTGTAGGTGAAAGAAAATAAAAGCACGTTGATGTGAATAAATACTGATTTATTTCGTTTATATTCACACGCTAGAAAAAAACAAAATGCTTTTAAACTCACACAAGTTGATATACAAACCAAAACTGATGGGGAAAAAATAAAATAGCTCAAAATATTTTTTTCTTTAAAAATAAACAAACATTGACAGTATACAGTTATTTCATGGGTGTTTGTGGAACAGTCCAAACTGTTGCCCCGAGGTATCAGAGATGACATTTGGAACTGTTGCCAGTTGCCAGTTCCAAATGTCATCCCTGATGCCTCGGGACAACAAATTACTTTTCAACAAATACCCATGAAATAACAGTTTTATTACCTATTTAATGTTTTGAAATCAAACAAAATTTAAAATATTTCAAAATATCAAAAAATTTTACGACGTTTTAATCATTTACAACTAATCCTACAGATTTGGGGTTTTTTAAAAAACCTGCAAGATAAAAATTTCCCCTCGGAAACGGCTCGGGTATAAAAATTTCCAGGTAAATTATTCCCCAATATTTTACTCCCAAAACCAAAAATAAATATTTATTTTCAGTAAAAGTTTTAAAAGGGCAGTAAAAAACTATACTGCTGATATTACTGTATAACAAACTGATCATGGCGTAAAACCAATGTTAAGTATAATATTTATTGTTTGCTGGTAAGACAGTGAGTTTAATTGCAATGTATCATATTGAATAATTTGAGTAAACAAAACAATGATGTTTATCATTTTAGATTAACCTTTACCTTTTGTCTTTAATTCACAAATCGATTTGTATTGAGCTACACATTTTATGCTTGAATGTCAGCAAAGTTCGCTGATAAATGTCACATATATAAAACAATGAATAAATAACAAAACATAACAATCTGGTTGAAAAACCGTGGTACCACACTAGAAGCGAAATTGTGATATGTGATAAAAAATCTTAACATCAAATCAAAACTAAAACATTTAATTTATGTACAAGTATATCACAGACTGAAAATAAAGAACAAACCAAACTATTGAGCGTTACCATCTACATAGCCTAGTAATAATTGGTTCGCACCAGTCACAATAAAAAAAGGGAAAAAACAAAATGCATCAATCAAAACAACACATGTTATACATCCATTCAATATTACTATAACATAAATACATATGCAAATAAATAATCATCTATTGGCACAAACATGAAGAAACATTTCCTCTTTTATCGTGTCGAGGTAAATACATGCAGCGACTTAGATATTTAATTTCCTTGGGTTTACTATTTAATGTAGGTTTATTCTTCTCTGCAATATTTCAGATCATTCGTTCAAGCCATACATATTTTTCAGAATAATCATTTATTGGGCAATTGGCATACAAATGAAAACGGTTGAAACGTTGTTAGCTTAAATCATTTTAGCAATAGAAAAAAATTACTATTTAGAATATTTCATTATCATCTTTTTATATTTTTTCATTTAAAGCCTCGAAGTAGTTCAATGTAATATTTTCTTTTTCATGTTTCAAGTTTACCGGAGACAAACCTATGTGACTGTTGCTTGGCTTAATAATCGGAAACAATTTTTTATGTGGTTAGCATACACACAGAGCGCATACACTTACATGTTTAGACACAATCAATAAAATACAAACATAAAAACTACAGTCCCAAGGAGTTGCAGACATAATTGAAGTAAGACGTCAAGATATCACAGACTTATCAACATGATCAATATCAATTATCACAGAAAGATACTTCGCACTAAAGAATGCCCAGATATATAATAATATGATAAAGAAAATTTGGGTATAAAAATAAAATAAAGTGGAAATAAATATAAACCATTAGTCTATGAAGGCTGGACATTGAGGGGGACACCGACACTGAACACCGAACAATCCCTTGAGGATGAAAATATAACAACATTGATTGCATGTACGGGGAGACTTTTTACAGCCGCCACACGGCACAAACAACACGGTTGTGAGCATAAAATATGATAAAGAAAATTTGGGTATAAAAATTAAAATAAAAGTGGAAATAAATATATAAACCATTAGTCTATGAAGGCTGGACACTTTGAGGGGACACCGACAACTGAACGCCGAAACAATCCTTGAGGATGAAAATATAACAACATTTTGATTGCAATGTACGGGGAAGACTTTTTTAACAGCCGCCACACGGCACCAAACAAACACGGTTGTGAGCATAAAATATGATAAAGAAAATTATGTCCGTTTTAACATCATAGACAAAAAACTATAAGAAAAAATATACATAAAAATGTATAACAAGTATTGGATAACTTGGTTTGAATAAAAATGTAGAAATTGTGTTAATACTGGGCAAAAAACAAAAGCAAAACAAAAAATCCAAAACATGAGCAAAAGAATGGATGCAAAACACAAAAAATAACCTATCTTCCCACGCAGACCTTATTATCAATGTGCAATTGTTTTCCGAAAAAAATATATATCCAAACTGGTGTTCCTAAAAAACAGAAAAAAAAGTCTTTATCATTTCCTGGAAAGTCATTTACAACACGCATCTTAACTTAACTCAACGTTACCACCAAAGGAAATAGCCTTCGGTGGGGGCTGCATCTTCGAACTCAGCGGTGGTAGAAGATTCGCTTTTCCTTCTGCTGTCGGAAGCTCAAGGTCAAAGATATTTGTTTGAACGACTTCTCCAGGTGGAACCCTGGTTTTTGTTACATCAAGCGGCTGAACTATTGTTGTATTTGATCTGCTCCAGAGCACGCGTTTCACGTTGTCACCTGATCCAGGTGTCGGTGTAACCGGCCTTTTATCTTTCATCAAACAATATACGATAATAACGATTAAAATAATCAGGAGAAGCCCGCCCACACAACACCCGACAATCACATAAATCATGAAACCACTTCCTGAATCTTCAGAATCACCACCTTTTCCTGAAATATAGATAATATACAACCTGAGCATTGTCAACAAACTACAACCTCATATAACTCAGAAAGGCATAACTGTACAATTTATTAAGGTTGTTTATAATTTAGATCAAACGGTGTCTTATTTTTGCAACGAAAATGCAAAAATACGAAGATATGACAGTCTCAATGCAAAAGGAGGCAAATGGAGGGCGTGCGACAGTACGACACATGTGATATGTTCTTACATTTTATATGAAGTGTCTTTTTCTCAGAGAAAATGCAAAATTGTAAAACTACGAAAATTCAACAAGACAGAGAAATAAATCCTTTAAGAAAGCAAGCTCAAAACGGTTTTATCGAGCCTATAAATGGACAATATTGGACAGTGCAAGCTACTGAACACGTCCCCTAGCACCAGCTTAAAAAGGCCAACATTTAAACATGAAATGGTAAAATTTTTAATTTTGATTAAGAAACATCCGCAGTTTTGTTCATACAGCTATGATCATGGAACATTCAATGTAACACGTAAGTGCCATTCCATGAAAAGTAGCTATGGTCCCCAAGTAAACAAACGTTTGTGCCCTGAACGAGAAAAACAACTGGCAGAACTAAACTAAATGGAATTTTGAATTTTGAATTTTGAGATGGTATGAAGCCTGCATATCACAGAAAAGCTTATAAAAGGCCAATATAAAAAGCAGTCCATAAATCCTAAGGGTGATTTTACAATATTCAAGTAAGGAATACTTGAACCACCCGAGCACAAAAAAAAACAATTAAAAGAACTTAAATACCACAAACAAAACAATAATGTTGCGTTGAACGATCCATAATGATCAGAAATATAACATCCCTGATTGTATGCATGCGGCGATTTTTTCGGCCTCGACACCCCATAAACAACGCTGAAGTGGCGATAAAATAGAGAGAAATAGAATCCCTAAAGAAAGTCCAAAATGACAATATTGGAAATTTTGCAGGCTCGGTTTGATTGTGCCTGAACCTGCCCACGCCCGCTTTAGCTAGCACCGACTTAAACATTATTCAATATTTAAACATGTAATGGCTAAAGTCAAAGTTTGTGTCGTATATTAACATTTTAGTATTTTTATTTCCTTTTTTTTCGTATTGTAGAATTTTTGCTTTGTTGCATTTTCGCACTCCAGTTGTACAAGCGCATGCGAACATCAATAGAAATGGAGAAACCTTGCAATATGTAATAGCAAATAAATGTCAATATTATTCAAAATTCAGTATAGCGTCAAAGCGCAAACTTCAACAATGTAAATGCAATGAAAAAGCAGGATTATAATACCGTAAGAAAAAAAAACACCACAAAAAAGCAAATCTGCTTTTGTCCTTTTGCCTGATTGTGTGGTACCCTCAAGTTTTCGCCTTGAAAATGCGTAATTTTGACAACATAGAATTCTTGGTTTAATTGTTGAAAATCATTTTTCTTTATAACAAAAGACTATATTAAAGATTCAGTCTTTAATTTAAATTCCATTCAATATAGAAATATACCTTGCTTTTTATCATACATGACTATTCATCATTTATATTGATGATGTGTATAGTACAATTATAATTAAATGTCACATTTATAATCTATATATGTTTAAGGATACTTTTAGGTCTAATTGGCCAGGTGTCATGTTAAATTATTTATTTTCGTTGTTTGTAAATGGCCATACACATGCCACTCTTATATATATTTACTAATTTAATAAAAAAAAAACACACCAATTGGCACTCGTATCTGTATGATTTTGAAATCGCCTTTTTTTGTGGCCACAATATGGACTTAATTAGCATCTAAAATTAATTGCTTATACAAGTGTTAAATGGATTTGTTGAAAAATACTTTATGTAAACAGTATAGATACCGGAATTGTTGTTTTGTGAATTTGAAGTGGTCGCTCCTGCAGTTGTTGTTGGCGGCGCCGTAGTGGTGGCTGGTGTGGTAGTCGACGTGGTTGAAGTTGTAGTTGTAGACGTTGTTGTAGTTGGTCCGTCAGACTTTACTGACATTTGAAAACCTTTAAATGTGTTTGTACCGTCTGAATAAAATACAACATACACCGTGTCACCTGTCGTCGAGTATGAGGTTCCACTGGGTATGGTATCACACAATATTGCCAAAACAGGTGCAGTGTCATCATAACCTATATGTAAATGTTATGTAAACAGAAAGTAATTACGTTAAGAGAAATAACAGGCATTGATTATACTCAAGATGGTAAAACGTCGTAGACTGTAATATATAAAATTAGAACAAAGAATAAATGGAATATTATATGTTACAAATATCATTAAAGTGACATTATGCTCATGTTTTTATAGGAAAGTTGAGCTGAATTGACTTTATATTTCAAACGATTGACTGTTAAAACGGCGTTTGACCAACAATTTTATTGGAAACTGTTTAGGATAAAATTATAAATCTGCCTAAAATTTAAAAAGACTGCCCAACTCTTTTGATAAACTAAGCGTTATAGTTAATTCTTGAACATTTACAGAAATTTAATTTATATCTGTACGTTATTTATTGTTTATGTGAACTTAATTATTAAATTAAAAGGAATTATGGCAAAATGAAAACTTTTTTTGATCTTCACCCGTTCACTTACTATATACCCTTGGATGGGCATAATGTAACTTTAAGTTTCTAATATGTATTTTGTCTAGTTCATTTGAATGTGCGGTGAGAGACAACTGACCATTATGAGCAATGTCCGAAATAAATTTTTAGACAAACATATACATAAATTGTTCGACTCTAAGGTCTAATTAAATGACATAAACGCAACCTAATTATCAATTTTTCTTTATTACATGTATATCAGATATTCTACATTTTTTACTTTCCATGTTGCGTTGAAAACGCCTTAGTAATATAAAATGTTAAATGTCACAATTATAGATATTAAATGTTGACGGTTAGATACAAATTATCTAACTTAAATAAAAAATAAAATCCATAGTTTTATAAGAATAAGCTCCAAATCAAGTCCATGTGTATCATTAAAGCAAGCAAGAAACATACAGGGGGAAAAAAACCTTACCGTCATATAAGGTGACTTTATCGTACAGACATGCTTTATTTTTATCTTCTTTTTCCAGTACAAATTCAACAACCGTTAAAAGTAGTGTATGGTTAGGATAATATGTCTGGAAACGGAAGTCACGTGTTGTATTACTGAAAATAAAATCATTCATTTATATGTTACAGCGACATATTCTATGACTTTAGTTTGTTATTTATGCAGGTTTGATCATGTGTATAGTTGAATTCAAGATTTCTTCATCAAGACGTGACTAAACGAGATCAATTTATATTTTTGCCAGAAAGGTACACGTAAAATATTAAGGCTCCCAAGATCGGTATTTTTGAAGTTAAAATTATTTATATTAATGCAGATTGTAATAAAACAATATTTTTTCGAAAAGAAAAAATTGGACTTTGCCTCTCAAAGTGTTTGTCATTTCAGTTACTAACATGTACATGTATAAACAGACATAGCAAATACCCACACCAGAATGCTATGATTAGGCCTAAAGTATTATTATTCAAGATTGATATTATTCGTGTAAAACGGCCAAGGAGTACAGGTTTACAGTGTTTTTTATATTTTTGGCGTACGCGCGAAGCGCAACGCCTCTTATGGAATGAAATCAGATTTTGTGAAAGGGCAATTGCAACTTCTCGGGCGTTTTCGTCTGTCATAAAAGCCGATCATGACGATTAGTTTGAGGAAAAATGAAATGTCGCGATATGAATAGAACTGGATAATTTCGCAATGTATACATATTCAAATAAAATTATCTTATCCGTCAATTAATCGCGCTCTTTGTGTTTTTTTATTAATCAAATGGGTTTTTACGTATGTCACTGCTGTACGTATAAATAGAATGATGACCTTAACATTGTGAAAGTCCGAAAATCTATTCATAGAAGTAGTTCTAGTTTAACGAAACGGTCATTCGTGTCTTTCTATGTCTGGAGAATTTTGCAGAAACAAATTCAAACAATTAATTGCACTCTTTATAAATCTATAGAAAAAAATATGTAGGTCATTGTATGATAGTATTATTATTTTGAAATTGTCTTTTCCGTAGGTCTCTCCGGTTTTCTTTTTTACGGCCCTGATTTCACTTATGACATTTTACCGTAAATATTTAAATAGACCTAGTTCATAACTTTACATGTTGCTTTTATTTTGACGTTTTGCGAACAGTAGTATACTAAAAAACCTATTCGCTGTTCAAGTATCTTTAGGTAACTGTGAAGGGTAGTTTGAGTGGAATATACATTTGCCGAATATTGTGACAAGGAACTTTCTGAGTTGTTGTGGGTTTATTGATAGGAATGTAAACACTGGGTGGGTCAGACGAGGTTTTTAAAGTAATTTATTAAAATAGTACATTGACCTCAAAATCAAATTCAATCAATTAACAGACTTTGTTCATTTTGACTTCTATTTTTTATGTTCCAAAGAAAATACCACATGAACTTGAAATTCTAACAAATAACAAATATTATTGATAATATCAAAAAAAAACAGCCTCTTTATAATATAAATAAACTTATACCATATAGGAGCGTATATTTTGGATATTATAGACCTGTATATTTTGGATAGTATCGTTAATATTGATAGAATTTTAAGTTCCTGTGGAAAAAAAACTTTCAGAATTCTAATCTCTAGCATGCCTACCAAAGTTCATGATGAACAATGACTTTTATCTGCCCATTCATAAATGATATACAATTATGGTAAAAACCAATTAACTTTTTGAAAAGTTTATAAGAATATCTGGTCAACAGATGTCTACTAGTCCATCTTCACTTGCTGCATTTCTTGCTTTTACGCCCTTTGCATCAATGTTTTTCTTGTTTCTGTCCTATATTTCATTTCAGTACTTAACGACTTGATAAACCGGTGCTAGGGGTCGTGAGAGATATCGCGTATTCAATTTTCTATCATGAGCATTGTATTCGAGGGTCTAACACTCTACACAAACTAGGATCACAAATGAACTACCAAGAGGTTTAACTGTGATGTTTCTACAAGCCCTTGATAAATGCATCCAAGCAGAAAGGTGGTTCCATGATGATAGCCCCATGAACACATCTGCGGATATGTTTTAACTCAAAACTCCAATATTTCCATTGCTGACTGTTTAATTATGCTTTAAAAGCTTGTGATATTTGAAGCGTGCACTTATCAAAAACGTCCATAAAATGCCTTAAATTAATCAAGTCAATCCTGCAGCATTTTCAATTTTTTTGCCCCCGCCGCATATAGTGTAACCCTGTTCCGTCATTCCGTCCTTCCGTCCTTCTGTCATTCTGTCATCACCAGTTTCCGTTCATTATCTTAGTAACGGTTGCACACATTCAACTCAAATTTGACATGTGGATATGTTATGAGTAAATACAAGTCAAGTTTGAATTTGGTCATGGTTCGATGATTTTTGGCAGAGTTATGCCCCTTTTACTTTGAAAATGATATGAAATTTTCAGTTTCTGTTCATTATTTTCCTAACGGTACAACACATTCAACTCAAACTTGACATATGGATATGTCATTTAAAAGTACACGTCAAGTTCGAATTTCGTCATGGTTTGATGATTTTTGGCAGATTTATGCCCCTTTTACTTTGAAAATAATATGAAATTTTCAGTTCCCGTTCATTATCTCCCCAACGGTACAACACATTCAACTCAAACTTGACATATGGATATGTCATGAGAAAATACAGGTCAAGTTTGAATTTTGTCATAGTTCCATAATTTTTGGCAGAGTTATGCCCCTTTTACTTTAAAATAATATGAAATTTTCAGTTTCGCCCATTATCTCCCCAACAGTACAACACATTTAACTCAAACTTGACATATGGATATTTCATGAGAAAATACATGTCAAGTTCGAATTTTGTCATGGTTCGATGATTTTTGGCAGAGTTATGCCACTTTTACTTTGAATATAATATGAAATTTACAGTTTGTGTCCATTATCTACCCATCAGTGTTACAAGGGTCCTCTTAGGCTCCTTGCCACTGGCTCTTGTTACTGGGTCGGGTGGGGGCTCTTGCTTATCATATTTTACATATTCAACTCAAATTTGACATATGGATATGTCAAAGGAATGGGCAGGTCAAGTTTGAATTTGGTCATGGTTCGATGATTTTTTGGCAGAGTTATGTCCCTTTCACTTTGAAAATAATATAGATACATCTTAGGAATAAGCAGTTTGAGTTTGAATTTGGTCGTGCTTCAATGATTTTGGACAAACTTTTCTTTCCTGAATGTTGGAAAAATTTTGAATTTTCAGTTTCAGCACTCATACTTTTGTGGAAATATTTGTAGCCATTATTTGCAAATATGCAATATGCTATTTTCAAAAGGTTAAGACTGAATAATTTCAGTGCCTTGAACATTGTATGAAAATGGTTTGTGTTAACATTGAAAAGTTTTTAGGGCTTTGAACTTAAAATGAAAAAAATGCTTTGTGCAAACAAATTTGGAACAAAATATTATAACCTCTGACATTTTGGCTGCATGCGGGGGCATCCAAATTTCTAGTTTTTTTTTGTTGTTTTATTTCTGTGCTTTAAGGTTTTGTAATTTTCTGCTCTATTTAACTGTACCTTGATTATATTTAGCCAGTGCCTATCAAGATATTTATATTTATATATCAAGGCCTTTAAGACCACAGAAAAAGGTTATATAACTTTTTGTTATTGTTGTTGTATCTATATTTGGTAAACTCAGGCCAGTCCTTGTTAACCATTTTACACATCTGTAATACAGATACAAGTAAAATGGTTTGCTGCGGGGAACATTTTTAATGATATAAAGATATTTCATTTAACTATTTTCAACATTGTAGTGTGGGGGGGGGGGTTAATAAACGTTTACATCAGGAATATAGTTGACAATAATCGATCAATATAGAAGAAGGTCTTTGGTGATGGTGACCGTTGAAGACCGGAGAAGGTCGAACATAAAACAATTATTTATTTTAAGAAAATTATTAAATAAGCCTACCATTTTATGAATAATTCCGAGCAAAAAAAAGTGAACACACAAGTTTACGCATAAAATATCTCTATTTATTAGATGCCACTACGTATATTTTAATCTTGTAGATTTTCAGTATAAACAATTTATTTTTTGTAAAATTTGAGATAGATATTAAAGAAACATTGATAATTTTCAAACACATCATTCAAGTTTTTCCACCTTAAACGGTAAATAATTATAGAAAATTAGAAATATCACGTAATAGTGTTTTGTTCTTAATGAGGTGCAATTCGGACTAATTCCCTAGAGGTAAATCCGTAACGTACCGGCAAACGATATTTAGCTAGGGTTTCAAAAAGGTCAAGTAACCAATCATGTACGGTTTACAGTTCACATGCTCCTCCATGTACCGAAAACAGGTCACGTGCTCCTCCATGCCTCAAAAGTTAAACGCGTACCAATACCCTGCGGTCTCCAGACCGCAGGGAACAATAGATGCCGCAATAAAGCACAATGAAGACTTTTTGTACCTTATAATTCTCATTTATTGTAACCTCAGGGTGATTTTCATGTATTGAAACATACTTTTTGTCGAAATTGTAGTTGAACTTAAATATCAAGAAGTAAATATGTGGGTACATAGTCAGTGCTTCTTAAGTACATATGTATTTTCCTACTGGATAAAAAAAAGCTGTGTATAGTACGAACGACCAGGTGCATAACATTATACGCCGGATTTTGTTCGGGCATATAACATAAATTGTGTATAAAATTATTTTGTTCTTTCACTGCATAACAGTGATGACAAAAGTTAAATGATTGGACGGAACATGGTGCATGTATACGTATAGTCAGTTCATCATATACTTACAATCCATATTCTAGAGAATCAACATAGCCCGGTGACGAGAAAAGTGTATCGGACGCTATCAATGTTGCGTTCTTTACTGTATGTTGTCCTGTAATAATTAAAAGAATGTATTAAATAATGACATATTTAACGAAATCATGTTTATATATTGATATTCATTATACAAAAGTCTACGAATATATATATATATATAAAATTTGTTTAATTTTAACATTAAAGTAAGGATTTAATTTGTTTGTAAGTATTGATAAAGTCTATAATATTTATTATTTTTTTTAAGTGCTTTAATCAAAGTCAACATACGGCATCGCAACATTTCAAAATACAATTATAAGAATATTTGATAAGCTCTGGGAATATTTTCTTTAAATGTCCATTATGCCCCAAAAATGCTTTTGTTTTATATCTTTCAAAAGGTTTTCTATTGTGGTGTCTTGTTACAGTGTCATCAATTTTATCTGTATCTATTGACCAATCACCATAATCATTTTTGCTTATTTTGCTTTTTCACAATTAGTACAATTAAAGAGCTATTAGTTTGTATGGGAGTCAAAATACTGCTTTGTTTACATTTTGCTACGTTTATGAGAAAGTAGTTCACATTCAGAACTATTTTTATCTAGCAGCAGGCATCTTACATAATAAACACATCTTTACCCTTTCCACAGAAGCATTTTGAGGTATAATGTGCCTTTAAAAAATTGCAACTAGAAACGGAATTTACATGTAACTTGTGTTGTAAAACATTAAGTTATTATAAACTTGTCTTTTGTTGCACTTTTTCTATCTTGACGAGTTTAAGCATCTACAGACGTATCACGTGACAACATAAAACATACGTTTATTATAACGTTGTAGTGGTATAATTTTGTTTATTGTTTCTTTTGATCGCAAACAAAATCATGTGAAATGTCATTTCTATATTGATTTGAATTTCATAATTATAGAATGGCTAACACTTTGTCAATATGCGTTATTAATTTGCTTTATCAGTGTAAATGTGGATTTTAAATAGCTGAACAATGGACTAGCACTATATATTGACGTGTTTCTATATAGTCTAATACTGTAATCAATAAATAAACAATGAGGTAATAGCCGTAACACGAACGTTTCTACCACACTCAGAAAGTATTGACAATTAAAACAATACGGGCTATTCAATGTTGTTAAATGTTAAAATGATTGAAAGTTATATTTTTGAATTAAATAAATGAAAAATAAAAATGCTCAATAAACAAGATCAATACAAGCGTGATAAAACTGTTATTGGGAGAAGTTTAAAAAAATAAAATATGAAAACGAACAGAGATCAATATTACAAAACGCGGGGCTATATATTTAAATAATGACATGTAATTATTACAATGATTTTTTTTAATATTTGTAAATATATCACAGGAAGCAATCTTATTTAATGTGAAATGTTCTGAGTTTATAATTGTTAATAAAGTGAAACTGTAGTTAGTAATATTGACACACTATCAACGCAACTTAAGTTTTGTAATTAAACTTTCGTATTATGTATTTGATTAAAATCATTTAGTGTTTGAAAATATTTTTGTCCAATAGGATTGCAGTATTTCAAATGAATCGTAACACATTTACTTTTGTAAATCGGCAACTTTGAAACAGCCTTTTTGAAATAGCTGGTTAAAATTTTCAAAATTAAATTGGACGCGCCTGACCAATTTAATTTTGTAAAAACGTACTAATAAACTTCAACCTATACTTAGTACTCTTTCTATTCGAAAACAGTGTTTATATACAGAACACACATTGCCACGGAAATGTGACATCATAATTATACAATATACATGTATAATCTTGGTTAATGTAGGCAGTAACATAATGTGGGGGAAAAAAAGAATTTTAATTCAGAACTGGTCATAGTTTGAGCTATATGTATAAATATAGGATAGAGAGTAAAACAAATGTCTGCGTTAATTTGCTGAATGGTTGATAATTAAGATTCCAAGTTGTAATTGGTACGGACTAACTGTAATGAATTGAAAACAAAAAATATACATGCATGTTGTAGATATTTTGTTGGTCTATAACTGCATCACGTATAACTTACCTAAAACAAGTGTAGCTGCTGTAACTGTCCATATCAACAGGTAAAAACATTGATCGTTGCTCTTCATACTTCCACTTTAACTTCTAATGGTCATTTCAACTGAAAACAATATACATTTGATACATGCTCTTTTAAATAACATAACATAACATAACATAACATAACATATCATAACATATCATAACATAACATAACATAACATCATAACATAACATCACAACATAACATAAACATTTACATAACATTAATCAAAGCACAGAAGGCGCTGAATTTGTTTGGGTCTCAGAATGTCAGAAAGGTGAAGGTTGTGAGATTTTAAACCAATTTGTTTTTGTAAAGTGCCACCAATGCTTTCCAGTGTTTTAACTGCAGTAAATTGGCTAAAACACCAATTGCAACACTGATAGTCAATTCAATGTTTATTTGACTAAAAAAAAAATGAGTTGCCTCAACTTGGATTTGAACTCCAGACCTCTCGATTCACAAGCGAGCGTGCAAACCCCTCGGCCACGGTGGACTTATATGTTATCGGCCTGAAGAAAACCATATAATTCTAAATTAGGGTTTGTAACTTATTATTTCGACGCTAAACCTGTTGTTTAACACAGATGTAAATAATCATGGAGCTTACTGTAAGCATGTATATCTATAAAGAATGAAACAATATTAGAAATCTTCGACCATTCGGGAACTACTTTGCTTGAAAATTAATGCGCCTGTCATTTGACAATCTTTACGCATTGATTTTTCGGAGTTAGTGTACATATAAAGGGAAGTAACCGCTTCAAAAAAGTGGACTACTTTAAGCATTTGCAATTAACAGCATTAGACTCTGAAATTTCGCTACCATTATTTGTTTGGTCTGACGACCCAAACTAATAAAAACCATAACCATAAACACTAACATTATAACAATAACATAAACATAACATTAACATAACATAACATAATATAACATTAACATAAGCATTAACATAAGCATGAAAATTTACATTAATATCAACATAAAATAATAACATAACAAAATATTAACATAACATTAACATTATTTTTACACAGCATATAACATTAACATAACGAACGTTTATTAGTGAATCATATGTGAACAGCACATTGAAATAACAATACGATTGTACATGCATGCATAAAAAATATGTAATAAGAGCATAAAATTATACAAGAAATGGATGTAACAAAGATAAATACATATCCACCACATCTGTGGTAAATTAAAGGAGATTTTGCTGTCAAATCTCTAACAGTTACTATAGTTATAATATACAATTATGACCATAATAATGTGAGACATGGTAATATTTTTTTGATACGACAAACTATATTGAATTCAGTATATTAATTAATTAAATATCACGTGATACGTTGATTAATCTTTGATGATCCTCGGCTATTTTGTGCCAGTCACATGCTTTATTGGTAATATTACATAGCGCTTATCTCTGATAACGCACGTTTGTTTCAAAAGAAGTGTGCCCTATTTCAAATAAATAGTGGTTATTCAATATCTGGAAGTGGTATGGAAATTAATATTTCATGAGCGGCGGTAGCCACCAGTGAAATATGATAATTTTCATACCACAAGATAAAAAATCCTGTATTTATAGAAAAAATACTTGATTTTACTGTTTATTATATACATTTTCCTCTTTTTGACATTACAATTGAAAAGACTTTCCCCTAAATTTTGTGTACGGGAATAATTTAAAAGAAAGTAGTCCAGCAAGATTAATAAATTTGAATAAAAAATGTGCATGCTAAGACAAATCCTAGATTAGACAGAAAATGAATCTATCGATTTTGATTTACTTAATTTCAATCATAAGTTTTAGATAAGTAAAATAAATAGTTTAAAATAAGTTTGAGATATATGCAATTCATAATTATAATTTTTTGGAACAATCGCTTTAAAATTCTGCTAGCGGCACGCGACAGCACATTTGTCTTTTAGAGCAACAAAGACTGAGAACGTTAACGTCATGCGCATTATTCTACCCCGAAAACTATATATGTCATCTTTAAAGATCCTGTAACACAAATTTTTTATGGTTTACTGTCATAAATATGATGCTCAAATTAAGATTTATCAATTTTGTAAGTTCCAAAAAGCATTATTTATAAAGATATTACCGAATTTAACATTTCAAGTAAATAAAGGGAGGTAATAAAAATTTATTTTCTATAAAGTTTAAGTCAAATTTTTCAATAAGAAATGAATGCAAGTATTTTAATGATTACATATACTATGATCAAATATTTGCAGTACATATTTTACATATTCGTCGATGTTTGAAAATTGTTTTGTAAGCATAATAATATACATATTTCACTAAAGCTTTTGATTGTTTGGTAAGAGATGTTATTTGGTATAAATTAATTCAATTTGGAGTGAGAGGTAAAATGTTAGATATTATTAGGTCCATGTATGATAATATAAGATCAAGAGTAAAATACAATAATACTATTAGTGAAGAGTTTGTATGTTACTTGGGAGTAAGACAAGGCGAATCCCTTTCGCCGTTTTTATTTTCTAGGTTTTGAAGGTATTGACTTAGGTATTTTAAAGATATTTTTATTATTGTATGCAGATGATATAGTGATTATGGCTTGTAAGCCCTCCTCTGTTTCAGACATAATCACTATATCATCTGCAAAAGGATTAAGATTATTGGAAATATATTGTGATAGGTGGAAATTAAGTGTTAACTGTACAAAGACAAAGGTTTTGATTTTTAAAAAAGGGGGTAAACTTAGACAGAATTTGAATTTTTATTATAAAGGTCAGTCAATTGAAATAGTTAAAAAGTTTACATATCTAGGCATTGTTTTTTCTGTTGGTGGATCTTTTAATATGACTTTTGAAACACTCTCTGGACAAGCATTGAAGGCATTGTTTAAACTTGAAAAGAGCTGATAAGATTCCCTTGTATGTCAGTTAACATAAACTGGATTTATTTGATAAACTTATTTTACCAATTCTTAACTATGGATCACAAATATGGGGTTTACTTGATAGTCATGTATTAGAAAATATACATTTAAAGTATTGTAAGAAGTTGTTGGGAGTTAAAAGACAAACACAAAACAATTGTATCTATGGTGAACTTGGAAGGACATCTTTAAAAACAATTAGAGCTATTAATGTTATAAAATACTGGTTAAAAGTTGTTCAGTTAAGTAGTACAAAATATGTCAAAGTTGTATATCATCGTATGTGTAGAGATTTAGAACTTAAACCGAATTCAATGTCCTGGGCTAAGTCTGTTATGATTTTGTTACAATCTTTAGGTTTCAATGAAGTATGGATTAATCAGGGCGTTGGTGAAAAAAATTATTTTTAGCAGTAGTAAAACAAAGATTAACAGATACATTTATACAAAATTGGTATGCAACTTTAAGAGATTCACCAAGAGCAAGAAGTTATGTATTATTTTGTGATTTTGGTTTTAAATCATATCTGTCAATGGTTAATATTGAAAAATTTAGGAAATCTTTATCACGTTTCAGGACTTCTTCGCATAGATTAAAAGTACAAACTGGTAGATGGCATAAACCTGAAGCGATTCCTTATAATGAAAGAAAATGTAATATTTGCTTAAAACTAGAAGATGAATTTCATGTATTATTAGAATGAGCACTGTACAATGTTTTGAGAAAAAAAAATATGGATAAAAATGTATATACCAAATTTCCCTATATTTATTGAATTGTTAACATTTCAGAATGATAATGTTATAAAAGAAATATCAATGTTTATCTTTTAAATGTTTGAATTAAGAACAAATGTTGAATACTTGTAAATTATAGTACCTAGGAAGGTAAATGTAATGGTACTTAATTGATATCATTATGCAAAACCTGTGCTTCATTTAAACCTTGCTGTAATATGTTGTTCTGTTCATATTAAAGCAAACTTATGACTCAAATATATATATAAATGTTAAATATATGTTATATATGTTTAATGACCTTGATATTATGTTTCTGTATGTATGTATGTTTGTATAAATGCTGTGTGCTCATGGGTATAATACCCACATGTATTTGGAATAAAATCTTAAATCTTATATAATTTCACTTAAGTGTGGTATATACAACCTCAATTAAAACATACAGGATCTTTAAGATTAGTCCAACTTTCTGAAAAAGCGTCTAGATCTCGAAAACTTTTGTTTTACTAACACCATACTTGTGGCGGGTTCCTTTTGTCACATTAAGATATTTTATAACGTTTTCTGGACACCTTTATTTCAATGTTTTCGGATAAAAAAAACTTGATTCCACGTGTATCGTATGTTCAAATGACGTAATATCTAAGCATTACATTGTTTCGGACTAGATTTAATTTTATACCAGTGTCTTTTGTGAGCTGCGCCGCTGTGGTATTTCCATTGTTATTTAAAGCGGTAACTGGACCCTATTAAATCAATGATATTTTGCAATTAAATAGATGAGCATCCAACTTAACGTATGTATAAATCTAATGAAGACAACATGAAATTTATCAGAATTATTAACAAATTCCGTGTAATTCTGGATCATCCCTCGCAACGTCAAATAATTAGCATTTCAGAATAAAATGCCTTAAGATGGCTTTTTAAATTTATTTGCTATCATTTCAGGCACTTGATAATGATAAAAATTTTCATTAGTGCTAATCAGGAACGAGTTTTACAGTGCCTACAACCAAATGACATTTAGGACATTTAAAAAAAAAACGTCCATGCTACAAAAACAGTTTCTAATCAAATAAGTGCTGACATTAAGCTAAATTGCGCCTGGTTTGTTTCTGTACATATTTTACAAAAAATCCTCGCATCCGAACTCAAAACAGTGATTCTATTGAGCGGTAAAATCACAGTTTGGGACATAAATTATTTCTTAATCAACTGTGATTTTATTTTAATTACACACACTTTTGGTTCTTTTATATTCAATAGGGAAAAACGCTGGTCGTGTTAGAGTAATTAACATTAACATTTTTTAAGATGTATGAATTCACTTAAATTTTGCACAGTTTTCCGGTTAGTTTTGCTGAACAAACTGGTTACGTTTGTATCGTAGGCACAGCATAGTAGTAACAA